AAAGTTGTTATCAAGCGAAGCCTCGATTTGCCAACTTGTATAATTGAAATGTAGGTTTAGGTTGAAAACATAAAATTCTCTTTTCTTTCATAATTTTTGGGCACTCTTATGTGTTTTAGATTTATGTATTATGGCATGTAAATTTATGGTACTTGTTGGAAAAATTTAACAACTAAATAAATGTGTGTTTAGTAATATTTAATTCGGTTTTAAGGTTTAAGTTAGTGAATGATTTCATAAGTTAGTTCAATGGTTTAGGTTAATAAAATGGTTAAATATTTTTAATACATATGAGATCTAAAAACTAGCTTTTAAGGAGCTTAATTTATTAGTTAGCTTTTAAGGAGCTTAACCAAAAATTTAGCTTTCAATGAGCTTAAACTAAGGTTTTAACCAAGATCTTCAATTGAACATAAACTAGCTTCGAATGAGCTTATGTTAAAGTTTTTAACAAAATGATTTATGATGAGTTATTTTATATGTGGACTATTTGATTATTATCTTTAAAACATTCAACCTTATCCAATAAGGTTGATGTTTATTCTCCCACAAAAATTATCTTTAAGCTTTTTAATTAAATCTAATGAGCCAAAACTATTTTAATCCAATTAATTTATTTGGACTATCCAAATAAATATTCTTAGATTATTTTGACGGGTTCCACATTAGGAAATAATTTTTTAAAATATCATTTAACCTAAATTAGGAAACTCCTTTCCTTTTAGTTTTTTATTTTCAAATTTTAAACTAACTTTCAAATTAGGAAACCAATTTCTAAAATAGAAAACTTTCCATTTTTGAAACTCTTTCCAAAATAGAAAACTTTTATAATCGAAACTTTTTCCAATATCTTTGCTTCTCATTTGTAATGTGAATACTTAAACTTATGTATGTAACTCAATAGGCTCCTAGATATATTGACAATATATCAAGAATAAAATATTCCTCTTTAATCTCTTGATACATAAATCAAGATTGACATCTAGCAAGGCATCATGACTACCTAATTTTCTAGGAGAATTAGTTAATCCATTATTACCTTTCACAAGCATGGTTACCATATAATTCAGTCCTCATATCAACTTATCACGAGTGTGATCTCGAACTTGGTTATTAGTCTTGTTCGATTATGATCACATAAGTTTTTTCGATTCTCAAACGTCTTAGCTCTTAAAGTAGACAAACTTTGCTCTATTGGTATACTCCTACTATAGCCATAGATTTCTTGAGCGGACATTTATCGAAGTGCAATGTGATAACTCCTTTAGCATACATGGAATGACATGTCCTATCTTAGTCATACACCTAACTCCATTAGATACTTAGTGCACCCAATGAATCCCCCACGTGCAACCTATTAATGGGTCCATCGAAATGAGTGTCAAAGTGCATAAGTCTTCTAATGAGATAACCGTGATGACTTCAAGTCTAAGGATCATTTGTACCCATCTTATATAAGATTCCGATAGACTAAAATAAAATGGATTCGATGGCGAGTCAAGTTTAGTGACATGTTCTCTAACATAAATCACCTAAGCACTTGCTTTGGTAACACCATGCTAATAGGTGTGAGATCTCCTACTACTATCATATAGGATAAGCATAGCACTCACAAGTTTATCTATATTTATCAATGTCCATTTTTGACAATGCTACGACTTAGGACATTTAATGACATCATTTATGTGTATTAGTATTTGTCTCACATGTTTCGATCAACTACTATTCCAAATGCATATCATAAGGACTTCTATCTAATTCTACTAAACATATTAATAAACAAATTAACGAATAACTTCTTTATTATTATCAAAATAAATAATGCAATGATACATCAACTCAAGCCCATCCATACATGGTTGGATCTTTAGCATCTACACTAACACTATTCATCTAACAAGGTAGGTTAACTTTAATGATAACCAATCATTGATTAACACGTGTATTAGTGTAGATGTTCAAGATCCAACCTATTTAGATGGTTTGATTTTGCTATATTGTTGTTTTTTTTAACAAAAAAATCTTTCTATTAATTCTTGTGATTTACAATTTGATAGAAATAAATAGAAGTCCATATGATACACATTGCATTAATGATTAAGCAATTGATGTGAGACAAATATTAATGCGTTTAAATAATTTCATTAAATGTCCCAAGTCATAGTATTGTTAAAATTGGATATTGATAACTCATAGTAAGACTTGTGAGTGTTATCCTTTTGCTATTAGATATCAATAGAACATCTCACGCCTACTAACATGGTAATACTAAAGCAAGCGCTTAGGTGAATAATGTTAGAAAAAATATATCATTGGACATGACTTGTCATGAGAATCCATTTGATTTAGTCTATAGGAATCTTATATGAGATGGGTACAACTGGTCATTTGAGTTGAAGTCATCATGGTTATCTCATTAGAGGATTTGTATATTTTGACATTTGTTTCGATGGACTCGGTAAATAGTTACATGTTGGCGAGTCATTAGGTACATTAGAAATCTAATGGAGATATATGGATGATTTAAATTAGACATGTAATTCCTTATATGCTAAAGCGAATCATCACATTGCGGTTCAATGAATTTCTACTCAAAGAATCTATGGCCATAATGGAAGTATACCAATAGAACATAATTGGTTTGTTTGTAAGCTAAGACATTTGAAGATCGAAAAAAACTTATGTGATCATAATCAAATAGATGATAAACCAAGTTTGAGATCACATTGTGATAAATTGACATGAAGACTAAATTGTTTGGAAACCATTCTTGTGAAAGTTAATTGTGGATTAATTAATCCTCCTAGAGAATTGGATAGTCATGATGCCTTGCTAAAGGCCAAACTTGATTTATGTATTAAGAGATAAAAGAATGTGTTTTTTTATCTTTTTGATACATTGCCAACATATCTAGAAGCCTATTAAGTCACATGCATAAGTTTAAACATTCACATAATAAAAGAGAAGTCAAGGTTATAGCAAAAATATTTCATGTTTTGGAAAGTTAGTTTACTAATATGGAAAGCCAATTTCTTATTTTATAAATAAGTTTCCTAATTTGAAAGTCGATTCCAATTTTAGAAGATAGTTACCAAAAAAAAAAAAAAAGAAATTAGTTTTCTAATTTAGGTTTAAGGGTAGTTTGGAAAATTACTTTCTATTGTGGACCTCAATAAAATACTTAAACTAATTTATTTGGATGGTCCAAATTCATTGATCATTAATTGGACTAATAGATGTAATTTAAAAGTACGTAAGATATTTTAGTTGAAGGATAAACTTGAGTACTATTGGGTAAGGCTCAAGGTTTACAAGGTTAGACAAAGTCCACATAAGCAACATCTTCGGAACTACGAGGAGATGTTGCCACCCCACACACATAGTATATATAAAGGGAGGTGATACATGGCAGCCATAAGAAAAAAATAAAAGAGAAAATGTTTTTCTCCCCTAAATTAAAAGTTGTCGTATCTCTCCCTAAAAGACAAAAAAGTTGGTGCAAATTATGCTGAAGTATTTTTAGAGACAAATAAACTACGGAGAAGGATTAGAGCTAGCTCTCTGCGATTTCTATAGCTTCTTGCGTGGGTGTTTAACTCGCATAGATAATCAATAGAGGCTGAACCCTTGAATGGTTTCCTTTCCGCTCAAATTGTTTACGTGCTATAAGAGGTAGTCACTCACTTTAATTCTATTCATATTTATGTATGATTAGTTGATTCAACAACATGATCTTAGGAACCCTAGATGGAGGAAAAAAATTATTTTACTCCGCAACACCATAAGATACATGATCCTTTGATTTGGTATTGATACTAAATAATCATGTTTCCATTTCGATTAAAAAATAAAAAATATTTTTAATAATAAATTTATACTTAGAATTAAAAAGTTATTGAGAAAGAAAAATTTACCTAGAGTTGTCAACACATCGGACTCAAATTGAGTCATAATAGATTCAAATTCGATTTGTTTAATAAAATAAATAAGATCAAATCTTATGAATTAGAATCGAATTTTAATAATGTGAATCCGGATATAGATCCTAATGGATTTGGAGCTCTATTGGATTTCTCACTTAATTTTTATAAAAAATTTATACTTACTACATTTAATATATTACTTGAATATAAAATATAATTCAACAATTACATGTATAATAATATATATTAAGATAATATTTTATTTATCAATTTTGTAAAAAAATTCAAAATATTTCATAATTTAAAAGTATAAAAGCAAATAATCTTAATAAGTTTGTCGTGAACTAAGTAGAAAATACTATAAAACTAAAATAAAAAAATAATATTTATTTCTTGTCCACATGGTAGCAAAAATAGAATAATGATAGGTATAATAACATTAACTCTTGAAAAAATATACAAGTTAATTTATAATTTTTTTCACAAAATTAAACTGAGAAAATGATAAGAAATTTATATATAATTTTCAAAAGTAAAATGGTGTGAAAAGATATTTGTTATTTGAACTTTATAATGAATAAACTCTAAATTTCGAGATAGTTTTGTATTTTTATATTTTTAATATATTAAATTTTTATTATTTTAAAATATTATAGTTATTGTACAAATATTTTTCAATTTTCATTTTAATTATTATCAAATCAGATCAAAATAGATCCATTAAATAAACATATTAATGAATTCAAATCACAATTAGACTGAAATTAAAAATATTATTTATCATATTCATTTAATTATATTGAATTTGAGCCGAATTCAAGGAAAAAACCAATCCATTTATAGCCATAAATTCACCCCAACCCCGTTATCCCAAAATTCATAATTTTTTATTATTATTACTTCTTCTTCTTCTTCTTCTTCTTCTTTTTATTATTATTTTTTATTTGCATTCTCAATCCTTTTCTTTCTCTCTCAAAATTCATAAATCCCAAAATCCCTCAAACAAACCGTAATTTGATCATTCGTCCTAATTCCAATGGTACTTCCGTTTCGGGAACCTTCAAGTATCTGCTACTGCTACTCTCTGTACACTCCTCTCCTGTCAGTAATGCCTACCCAGCTTTCACTCGCATCTTCAAATCTAGCAGCATCACCACCATTTTCTATATTGGTGGATGTAGTGTTACCTCCATTGCCCCTTGTTGAATTCAAACCATTACCGCCATATACAAATTCATGCAATTGAACATCTTCAGTACGCTTCCCTACCTCTTATCCTTGTTTACCAGATTCGAGGCCATAGTCAACTTTAATGGTGGGCTGGATGGGTCATCTATGCTCATCGACCATATCTTATTTGGGCATTCAAGACGGTGCTTCAAATCCTCAATTTCAGCTTCCTTTTCTTTCGGACTTCCTCTAAGAGCTACCACTTGAAAAGTTTCTTTCTCTGCATCTCTCTTAGCATTTTGATAACATTTTGCTTCTCCTCGAGTGCAGACTCCATAACCTATGGAACCAATCGTAGAGTGCATCTCTAGAAGTGTCAAACTCCGTCGTTTGGGTTCTCATCCACTATTTGAGGAATAATGAAATTAGGTTTTGTTTGAGGAATTTTGGGATTTTAAAGATTTTGGGGTTGGGTGGGGGCTGTGAGAATTAAGGGGGAAAAAAAGGATGAATTTTGGGATAATGGGAAGGGGTGAATTTGTCTTTTAATTAATTTTTTTTTAATTCTAAGTATTAATTTATTATTAAAAAAGAATTATATTTTTTTTTCAAAATATTATTTGAAACCAATAATGTTATGTGTCGGTCAATGATTGGTTTTGTTAATTGTAATATAACACATTAGATGGCTTAAGCAAAAAAGACTCTAATTGTTTAAACAAGTGGTTTTGAGTTTAAGTATTTCTATATGTAGAACACTCTTTGGATAGTTACATCCGTCTTAACTGTATGTTCGAACAACAAGAGATTAGTTTTTGTCTATAGACCTGAGATATCCTAAGGATAAAAAAATGCTAAAAATTTTCTAAAAGTAGAAATCTCAATCAAGTAAAAAATAAAAATTAATTAAAAATAGAAAATTTTCTAGTTAAATATAGGAAAAACCTCAATTTTCTCAATATGATTCATTTACCCTTATGCTTATTTTTATTTATCAAGTTTTTTTATCCTCAATATTTTTTTTATGGAATTTTCTTTAATTTCCAATAACAATTGATAAATAGATTGTCATACCAGGTAAAGATGACAAGTGAAATAACACGATGAAAGCAACATGTGACAAAAATAAAAAATAAAAAATAATTATGGTTCTTTATCTTTAAAAATTAAATTGGAATCGGAAAAATTTATTGTTTTTAATATTTTAAAATTAAATTGGAGGGAAAAAAAAACTATCAAAACCTAAATTTCTAACATAATAAAAAAAAATTAGAAATTAAAGAAATTTAACCTAGCTCATTGCTCTCTGCGTAAATCCAGAATTGTCTCTAAATCATTTAATCAAATAATGAAAAACTATTGCATGACAGTTTTACTATTAACAGAATCTAAAAAGATCCACCATATAATCATCAACATCAACAACAAATTGTGTTACCATCAAATCCAAATCACTGGCAACCAAAAAACCCATGCAATAAATCCAAATCGAAAGCCTCTAGCAGTGATGAAAGAGTGTAATTTGGCATTTAACGTTTGGAATTCGAGATCTTCTTTGAAGAAATGGTACTTGAATATGATACCTTTTTATGTTTTGTAATTCAAAATTGTATGGAAAGTAAATCAAGAATAATTTTATTTTATATGATTAATAATATTATTATTTAGCGGTGGCATATACTAGCTAACAGGACTATCGATACTCTCAAGTCAAATGCACTTCTATAAGCATAATGATCTACTTCAAGATTTTAATTGATACAACAATGAAAGAACCAATAATCCATGGGCCCGATAACAAATAGGCTAAGAATTTGATATCGGATCCATGCTTGGTTATTCAGATGTGCAATTTTTCAAAATTTTCATAGTTAATTGTATTTTAAAAACTAAATAAGATTAAATTGAGAAGTATAATAGATTAAAAATTTCCATTGCACGTGAATTCATTTCACCGTGCAAAAAGTATATAATGTAACATGGAAGTAGGGATGCAAGAAGACATTGAAAAATTGCAAGACAGTTTGGGATGAAATTGAGAAATCGAAAAGTTTTGGTACAAAATTGATAATTACTTTATACGTTACAAACTTTTTATTGTTTTCTCTAAATATATATTTTTTTTCTTTTGTTTTTGTTTTAATTTTAAAATAAGAGCATTTTTGGATCAACTCTTTCCTTAATCAAGATAAAATCTTTGGTCTGACTATTCTAAAAACACATTTCTTATATCAGTATAACTCAAAAACTGACGAAAGAAAACAAATTTTTTTAACCACTACAACAATTTTTTAGGATTGTTTGTTTTATGTTCGTGTAATATCTAACGCGCATTTTATTTTAATAAAAATAGCCAAAAGCAAAATTTTCAATTTATTTTTTAACTAGTTAATTGAATTTTGAAATTAGATCTCCTTACAAAAAAAATAAAAAAAATAATAAATAAATAAAAACCATTTAATGACCCTGCTCCTTAAAATATCTAGTCCCAAAGAAACAATAGAAACTACAAATCTCCAGCCTCCTTACCCCCACCATTTGTTATCTTTTCTTTGAGGAGGAAAAAATGCTTACTGGTTGCCTCCCGTTGTACACACCATTTGCTCCAATTACAACCAAAAACTTATCCCCAAAAACCTTCACTTCCTTCTCTCCAACCTCTAGGAAAACAAGTGATTATTCTATGACATGTAGGGCTACATCGTCGTCGTCGTCATCATCATCTATTTCTTATTCACCAATCACAGACTTTGATCTTTATGATCTTCTAGGTATAGATAGCTCATGTGATCTTTCACAAATAAAAGTAGCTTATAGGGCTTTGCAAAAAAAGTGTCACCCTGACATAGCAGGACCAGCGGGACATGACATGGCTATTATACTCAACGAAACTTATTCAGTTTTGTCTGATCCAAATTCACGTTTGGCTTATGATAAGGTTAGTTTATTACTATCTCCATAAGAGAAAGGTTTTAATTTCCATGTGTGGATGTTTTGTGTTTTTGTTGTCTATCAATAATATAGAAACACAATAAACAGATCTTGATCATGCATGTTGAGAGTTTGTCTAAATCAAGGTTAATTGAATTCTTATCTTGTCCCAAGGATGGTTTTATATGTCTTAGTGCTGACTTGACAGTGCTAGCCAACCGGACTTCTTTTATGGTTCTCAAATATGATGAGAATAATTCCTATGAAATTTAAGATCTAAAAAAAAAAAATCATGAAGTTGCAAGTTATATGACCAACTTAATTAATTTTTGCTTATGAAGAACTTGTTAAAGTCAAATCATAAATTTGCAAGTTATATGACCAACTTAATTTTTCCCTATCAAGAACTTGTTAAAATGAAATTCTGGTCAAACTTCTTGTGAAATCATGGTCCATTTAATTGGGAACCAAGTTAGTAGCAGGACATGATTGAGTCTCTTTTAGGAGGGGGAGCAAGCTGCAATGGATTTTTAGATTCTTGTGTTTGGCCTAGATGTGACAATATCGAAGAAGAGATCTACATTATTTTTTATTCATTTACGAAGGATTATTTTGGTGGGATGTGTGGTACAGGAACAGGCTAAGATTGCAGAACTTCGGGGCTACACTGGCAAACCTATATATTCCGCATGGTTTGGCTCAGAATGTGAACAAAGAGCAGTTTTTGTTGATGAAGTGAAGTGTGTTGGTTGCTTGAAATGTGCCTTATTAGCAGAAAAAACATTTGCTATCGAATCAGTTTATGGAAGAGCAAGAGTTGTTGCACAATGGGCTGATCCTGAGCACAAAATCCAAGCTGCAATAGATGCATGTCCCGTCGACTGCATCTCGTAAATATCACAGATCTTTCAAATGGTTTGAGTACATTGATTTCTCCTGCTAGAGACACAAGAAAATTCTAACAAAAGAATTTCTTTTTTATCTTCCTGAAACAAATGCAGGACTGTGGAGAGGTCAGACTTGGCAGCACTAGAGTTCCTAATGTCCAAGCAGCCTCGAGGCAACGTACGAGTTGGTGTGGGCAATGCAGCCGGAGGACGTGTCTCGAACATTTTCGTTGATGTGAAAAAATTCCAAAACAGATTTGTTGATGCCACGAACAAAGCCACAACACAAAACTCTAGGGTAACTAGATTACACCATTAAGATAAACATTAGTCATCAACCGATGGCAATTGGCATCAACTATTACATAATCGTCCATAATTTTATCTATTTATTTATTTATTTTGATTTCAGGAAGCTGACCAGCAGAGAGAATCAAGAATATCAGCTGTCCAAGCAATTAAATCAATCTCCAGTTGGCTTTACTGGCAGTCACCAAAAGCGAGAGCAGGGTCCCCAGAATCTTATCAAAAATTGACAAGGATCGTCAGAAAATCTTCTCAGCCAAATATTAAAAAGATCCATGAGGCTGCTGCAGCAAGAAAGAAAGCAAGAGAGAGCACTAGGCCCTTTCGTCAAACCCGATCAAGTTACTTACATTATGATGAGTATTGGATTCCAGCAGCTCAGTTTCTTCCCGCCTCAATCAATAGCTCTAGCTCTATCTATAGTTCTAGCTCTAGAGCCACACCAGAGACTTCACATACTAAAGAATCAAAGAAACTTGAGAAAGATGATTGGGGACAAGAGAACATGCAAAGAAATCCCATAAGTTGGGAAATGCCAATTGTTCCTGCAGCAATCGCAGCTGTTATAATACATTTGCAAGTAGGAGAAGGGACAGTTGGTGGATTGAATGAACATGTAGGTGGTTCTTTCGCTTTGGAGATTGTAAATAGCTCTTGGTTACAAGTTACATTAGCTGGAATTACATGGTACATGATTGGTGTAACAATGATTGGAGTAGTCGAAGCAATTGGAAATAGGAAATAGTACTGAAAGAAGAGGCCGAAAATATGTGCGCTTCATGCTTTGAAATGTACTTAATGTAAAATTCATTGCTGTGGATCTGATATATGTAAATAGAGAATATTAATGAGTAATATGAGGTTTCAATGATTTTCCTTAACAATCAAATGATGTACCATCAATGACATTTTGTTCTCCTGCTATCTCTTGCGAATCCTACCTGCAAACACTACAACAAAAAGGAATTGGTTGCTAACAACCAAAGAATTCGCGACGGTTTGAGTAGACATATGTGTTTTTGGCAATGGTTTTGAAAACCGTCGCAAATTTGTAAGCTTTTAGTTATGGTTTTGAAAACTGTAGCTGAAAACCTAGATTTCACGATGGTCAAAGTAGGTTGTCATGAATATCATTACAATTTTGGATTTTTAGTGATGGTTTTAATGAGTGCATAATTAGTATGATTTATGTTCTTTTACATTGAATTTTTTAGTGTTTATTGTACTATATTTAGAAAATT